CTAGCATATGGAAGTGTTGTTACGAAATCCAAATCTTTCCACCACCTACATCATAACAAATTACCATCAATACTTGAGATATGATCAATCAAAAAAGGGTCCATCGTTTTTATATATCGTACCTTGATACTTCAGCAAGTTCTTGTTTGTGCAACATTTGGAGCAAGTTGTAATACAATTTGGCAAATCGAAGTAACACATCATTTTTTGATTTTTCCTTCTCATAGATTGATGAGATGAAAAATCGGGTCTCGACTCTAGGAACACCCTTGTGCAAACATTGCTCAAGGGCATGTGTCACTTGCTCTCTAAGCGGAGATTTCAAATGTGGAACTGTAGATTCAAGATGAATAGTGGAGAAAGCAAGTGCGTCTTCTAAGATATCGTCAGCATGAGTCCTTATGTGTGAAGCTTCATACAAGTTCAATAATCCTAAGACATCACTAGCAAGAGACTCCTTGAATTTGCCATTTTCATCTTGGAATTTGCTGAAAATTTCTGGTTTTCAAGGAAGAATACACAATATTAACCTTTTTTAAAATTTCTGGTATTTCAAGATAGAAAGCTCAAGATTAATTAACCTTCTTTCAACATCCGAGCCCTCTAACTCATAAGTCAATATCCGGTTGACTTTTCCAACTTAAACCTTCTTAAAAGAGACTAAGTGTCTCATTTCTTACCAAAACCACACCAAACGCAAACCAATCAACTCGACCACATAAAGCATGGATAACGAAGCATAAAGAAGCAGAAATGGGGGAAACAGAGCGGTAACTCATGAGACGACTGGCCGGGTCGTCACAGCCATACACCTAGGTGCTAAATTGACTTATACATACATATAAGTGATGGAAGTATTTATAAAAAAAATGGCTTGAAAGTGAGTGTGATAGGAAAAACATACCAAAGTTTTAAACTTTAATTTGAATAGTTTAATGAACTTGAATTCTTGAAAGTTATGAAAATTGTATATAACAATAAAATGGTGTCAAACATTTAGAACGTGCTAATGAAAGCGAAGGGGTGGGGACGAACACTCTACCGCATAGTGGAGTGGATAGCTAGGACTACTAAAATGGAGATCGATCGTGTACAACAACAATCCTATATTTGATGTGTACTCATCCACACTTCCGTTCCTTGTAGAGGAAGGCTAACTGCTTTTTGACTGGGAGCCCAGGTTATAAGATCGGCTCAGGATCATGGATCCTTTTCTATCAGATAGGAAGGTTGTAGCACAAAGCGTACTTCTAAGTAATTGCCTCATAAATCCTATGTCTATCTACATGAAGAAGAAATCATGTAAAGCAGAGAATTCTTATTTGTACAAATGGTACTTCGAGCTTAGAACGAGCATGAAGATTGTCATATAAATTGGAACAGAGAAAATATTCTTTAGAGTTATTATTGCATCCTAGATGTCATATACAGCTCTCTATCAATACACAGGTATCTAGTGATTAGTTCTTAAATTTTTCTTGTAAACAGACAAGACTGAAGTAGATTTTCAGATTAAGGTCAAGAATGAAAACATAAAATTAGTATATAAGGACAAATGGATGAAAACATAAAATTAGTATATAAGGACAAATGGTTGACGACTACAAAAGAATTTGATTCTCATCGATACAAAATATTGTGATTACAAGGATCTAAAGGAGATCCTAGTTAGGGAAATGCACTGCACAACACACAAAAGCAGCCCCCTAACAACTTACTTATACAACAGAATAAAAATAAAAAATATATATTTTCTTTCTAAAAAACGAAGAATTAAGTTTCCTTTAAATCTGTTAAGTATAAATTTTACAGAGTACTACGTCTATTCGAATTATATTAAATATCTTGTTTTGCTTTTCAAGAATCGTTTAAAAACATTTACTTGAGAACAATATTGGAAATTTGTGATACTTCTCGTTAGAGTTCTAAGTTAATTAACGAGTAAAACTTAGATGTTGTTACCCTTCTCCGATTATCCAGTTTGTAATGTGGTTAAATGGCAATTTAAAAGTAGAATTAGATAATTTGGATATGAAAGCCGTAATAAATTGAATGAGAGGGTGTTTGGCTAAGCTTATAAGCTAGTCAAACTACACATTTTAGCTGGGAGCGTGCTAGAAGTCGTGCGTTGCACCAACTCTAGCACGCGACTCAGCGTATCCTTTTCGAATTAAGAGATATCAAGGACACCCCACATCAACCCTAATTCATATAAATACATCATAAAACGTCCTTTTAAAGGGGACACTACTTTAGGGTGAGAAAACACCCAAGGAGGCGAACCAAGTCCATCCCAGTGGAGCACAGATACGAATAGACTTAAGCATGTGGGATGCACATGAAGGAGATAAACCTTACTTGACAGAAGTGATATCTCTTGATCCTAATCGAAAAGGTTGCATATTCGATAAGGAGAAGGACTCCTTACTCAAAGAGAACACGGGTTAAGAAAGGGAAGGAGTTAGAAGTTAAGATCAACTAGAACTCTTCCACCAAGGGAGAGTAGCATCAGAATTCTTGTCAATCTCTATTTACTAACTCTATAAATATCAGTGTTGTTCTCTTTTACAGGTAACGCACATAAGCAGAAGTTAAACGTGAATTGAGAGAAAAATAGCAAGGCAATTTTGCAAGCAGTTCGTGTGTGATTCAAGTGTGCAAAACTGAAGCTACTTGAACCAAATAGAAGAACCAGTTCCAAATGTCTGTCTTTTATTCTAGTTCAATTGTAGTAGACGGTTTTATATTGTACCTTTCAGCTTTATCTAGAGGCAATTATAATAGGTACTCAGAGTATTCAAGTTAGAGTTAACTTGAAGTTGTCGCAACAGTTATAGGCTGTGTGCTACAACGGGATTAGAGTTAGTCTTAGGTTTACAAAAGAGTTTTTGTTAATGTAATTTTTGGCGCAGTGATTTTAGTGGAGAGTTTGAAAAAATCCTACTGGAAAGTAGGCCGAATTATATTTGCACCAATCGCTTATCCTTTTTAGGACTAGAGTTGGGCGTGATCAAATTTTGGCGTTGTTGCCGGGGAATTAGTGGTATAGCTGTAGCTGTAAATATTGCTCGGTGTTCAGTTTGAACTTTTATTTTATTTTATATGTATTTTTTTTAATTTTTATTTGAGAGACATGGAATCTTGGGAATTATGTGAGGTTTGATGTTAGTAATTCTACTTTTGTTCCTTTTTGTGCATATTGTGGAAGAAACCAAACATGGCAAAATTATCAAAATATTTCAGAGAGTGAGTTATGGGCGCCAACTCAATCTTATGTGTGGAATGTATGTGATATGTTTGGTAGTCAAGATGGTCACTTTTATGGTTCTATTATATTTCTTATCCTCCCCCCATCCCTTATTATGATGGTTTTACTTTTACTTGTGATGTTAATAGGAACAAGCAACCTGGGGATGCTGACCTAAAAGAGATCAAGAATATGCTAAGGTGCCTTGTGGAATAAAATAATGACACTCAATTACGGATACAAAGGCAAGAGGCAACTATTCACAACTTGAAGGCTCAAGTGAGTCGAATGGTAGAAGCTTTGAATGTTCCAAAACTCAATATTGTGGATAGAAGCCGAAAACAATATGAATTAGAGTCAGCAGTTGATACTCTGGTGGAGGAGGTTGGAGTGTAATACCAACAAACTTGCCAACTAGAACTTGAGGATGTCGATGTTGAAGACGTGATACTTGAGTCAGCCAAGGATAGTAAAGATACAAATTTTCTTGATTTTAGTGTCATTGATATTGAGGATGTTGAAAGTCCTGGAGTGCACATTGGTCCTTACTCCAAGCATTTTTTCACATTAGGTTTCGATGATGACATGAAAATAGAGTTATCCGAACCATACATTGGAAGGGCACTAAGTGATGACTGACCCTTCTGAGTACCGTGATAACCATGACCCGAAGATGCCCCACGATAACCTTGGTGGGCTAACTGAGCAGGCCTGAAAGAACGATCTCTACTATGCCGGAACTGGCCCCTCGAAAGAGCACCACTGTAACTGCCAAATCCTCGAGGCCTCTTGGCCTCCCTCTCCTCCCGATCCTGACGGCGAACCGTCTCAATCTCGCGAACGATATCAACCACCTCCTCGAATCGTAGCACCCAACACTCTCTCTCTCTAGACATCAAAATACGGAGATGGTAGTTAATACCATCAACAAATCTCCTAATCCTCTCATGATCTATCGGAACCATCCAGACGGCATGACGAGCCAACTCAAAAAACCTCGACTCATACTGTGACATAGTCATATCCACCTATCGCAACCACTCAAACTGTCTACGCAACTCCTTTCTGTAGGACTGCGGTACATACTTCTCTAAGAAGAGAGTGGAGAACTCATGCCAAGTAAGGGGCGCTGCTCCAATCGGCCTACGCCTCTCATATGCCTCCCACCAAGTGAAGGCAGCCCCAGTAAACTTAAAGGTGGTTAATGCCACACCACTAGTCTCAAGAATCCCTACTGTATGAAGCATCCGCTGACACTTATCAAGAAGACCCTGGGCATCCTCTCCCTCAGCACCACTGAATGACGGAGGCTAGAATCTACCAAACCTCTCAAGACGACGTTGCTCATCATCCGGCATAACTGGCTCAACAAACTCCTGATCTGGTGCAACCAACTAAGCTGGAGGTGCCCCCGGTGTCTGTAATCCCTGCACTACCTGCTCAGGTATGCGAGCAGCGGGGGTCTGATTGCCTCCCCCGGCTTGTGACATAGTTGTTGCTGTAGTGGCTGAAACTGCCTGATCTAGGCCAGTGCAAACTGATAAGATTTGTGCCAAGGCCTCCTGAAGACCCGGAATCACGATGGGCACAACTGGTGCCTGAACTGGTGCTACTGGAGCATCCATAGCTAGAGCCTGACCCGTAGCTAGGGAAGCTGGTGGATCTACAGGTGCTGCCCTCATTGATCTGCCTTTGCCACGACCACGACCGCGTCCACGACCTCTGGTGGCCTCCGCTGGTGGCATTGGTGGTTATCCACCTCGTCTGGTAGCTCGCATCCTCACCATCTATGAGAGAATAGGATAACATAAGTTTAGTACTCGGACCAACAAGTTCGCACGACAAGAGTTTCAAGAATATGAAGTTTTTCCTAAAAAGGTTCTGCAGCCTCTCGAGGATAATAAATACAGACATCTCCGTACCGATCCGCGAGACTCTACTAAACCCGCTCATGACTCATGAGACCTATGTAACCTAGACTCTGATACCAACGTGTTACAACCCAATTCGCGAACCCGATCATGATGGCACCTCTCGTGAAGACAAGGGCAGCCAGACCAAAACGGAACACCTCTTTAAGTAGTTAATTATCATAAACAGTAATAAACATAATATAATATCCATAGATTGAGAAAATTTAACGATAACAACAGGGGAAACCATCCCGACACAACCCAAATTGGGGTGTTACAAGTCATGAGCAACTAAGGAATCCTGATACAAGTCTACTGAACACTAAATCCGATACGATAGTTCTATAAACATGAAAATGATAAGATAAGGGAGGCACGTGGATGCAGACGCCAACAACTACCTCGTAGTCTCCGAATCACTGCATGGACTAGGAGAATCAGCACTCAGGAGCGGACTTTGCGATGCCTGAATCTGCACACATGGTGCAGGGAGTAATGTGAGTACTTCGACTCAGTGAGCAATAATTATAAATAATGGCTGAACGTATGAAAACATGTAATGGCATAAAACAATTCCGTATCAAGCAGTAAATCACTTAAGGCAGTAAATCAGTGAAGAAGTAAAATGAAATCCCTTTTTAAAACAAGTAAAACGGGAAATCTTAAAAGGTAAATATCAAGTAGAATTCCGCCCCTCGGGCACAGTATCAATCACTTAGAACAGTATCAGCCCCTAGGGCTCACTCTTAGATCATAATGGGTACCCGCACTTACTTTGGGTGTGTAGACTCCGGAAGGGCCTCTTACGGCCCAAGCACTAAATCAAGACACCTCATGGCATCATCACTCGGCACTCGGCCTCACATCACTTGGCACTCTGCCTCACATCACTCAAGCCACCTCATGGCATATAAAGTATCTCAGGCCCTCGGCCTCATATCACTCCGCATATCCTCACATATGGCTTTCGGTCTCAATCAGTCCAAAAATCATCACAAGCCCCTTGGGCATTAGTAAAACAGTAGTTCTCAACCCAAAACATGATGTAGAAATATCATTTAAGTTTCAAATCTGAGTAAAAGTGGCTGAGTTTTTAAAACAATAGATATCAACATGACTGAGTTCAAATAATAAGTCAAGTAGTGAAGAAGTGATAAAAATCCCCGAAGGGTTCAAATAGTTGGCACGAAGCCCAAATATGGCAATCAACCCAAATCATGATGATAACAAATGAATTTCAGTCAAATACGCGGTAAAATCATCAATCAGGACGGACCAAGTCACAATCCCCAGTAGTAAAAAAACCCCACGTTAATCATCCAGCGCGTATCTTGCCTCAATATAGCACTACGATGTGCAATCTGGGGTTTCAAACCCTCAGGACATCATTGACAATTATTACTCACCTCGAACCGGCTAAATCTCTAGCTCGCGACGCCGTTGCCCCTCAAATCGGCCTCCACGAGCATCAAATCTATCCAAAATCAGAACGAAAACGTCACAATATGCTATGGGAACAAAGCCCAAGCGAAAACAATCAACAAAGGGCACGATTCCCAAAATTACCAAAAGCCGAGCCCCGAGCTCACGTCTTGGAATCGGGTAAAATTTACATTTTCAAAATCCTCATACCCGCACGAGTCTAACCATACCAAAATTATCCAATTCCGATACCATTTGGTCCTTCAAATCATCATTTTATATATTTGAAAGGTTTCACAATTTTCTTCCCAAATTCCATCCCAAATCACGAATTAAATGATGAATTCAATGGTAGATTCCTATATTCTAGCCAAATCTGAGTTAAAATCACTTAGCCCGATGAATTTCTTGAAAAACCTTCGAATATTTGCAAAAATCCGAGCTCTCTAGGTCAAAATAATAAAAGAAAACCCAAAACCTCGTATTTATAGAGTACCCCTCAAATTTCAGCCTCCGCGTGCCGCACCAAATCGACTGCGGTCCGCACAAGCCAGTACGGTCCGCGCAAAAACAACCGCGGCCGCACAAACCTTTCTTTGCTGTGACATGCTTTAGTATTTTGGCCGTAACGTTTTCTACAAATGTCCAAATTAATCTATCTTTACCTTTCTGGAAACTAGACACGAAGGGCTACAACTTTCGTTTTTGAATCATCTTACACTTTCTTGTAGATCAAAAGATATGAGCTTCCGAAGTAGGACCAGCAAATCGTTCCCCACTGCGGCCGCACACAATTTTGTGCGGTCCGCATGACACCTACCGCAGCCACACTTCTTTTTGTGCGGTCCACACAGCACATACCGCGGCCGCACTTCTTTTTGTGCGGATTGCGCGGGTGGTTTCCGAGGCCTGCAACCCTCCTGGACCTGCTACAACTATGATTTTCGGCCTAAAACATCCCAGAACCTGCTCGGGACCCCCGAAACTTCAAACTAATTGTACCAACACATCCCATGACATTGTTCAAACTTGTTCAACACTTCGGAACGCTTACAACAGCATCAAATCACCAATTTAACATAGGATTCAAGCCTAAGAACTCCAAGAACTCTTAAATTATGCTTTCGCTCAAAAAGTCTATCAAATCTCGTCTGAATGACCTAAAATTTTGCACACACATCCCAAATGACACAACGAAGTTATTGCCAAAATATCAATTCCGCCAATTCGAGCCTAAATCTTCTCTACAACTTTAAAACCCATTCTGATAGAGCCTAAGTCACAAATCACCTCCCGAAGCTAACCAAACCATCGGAACTCACATTCGATCCCTCTAACTCTTAAGTCAACATCTGGTTGACTTTTCCAACTTAAGCCTTCTTAAAAGAGACTAAGTGTCTCATTTCTTACCAAAACCACACCAAACACAAACCAATCAACTCGACCACATAAAACATGGATAACGAAGCATAAAGAATTAGAAATGGGGGAAACGGAGCAGTAACTCATGAGACGACTGGCCGGGTCGTCACATCCTCCCCAACTAAAACAAACATTCGTCCTTGAACGAGTCAAGAAACATACCTGAAGCCTCAAACAGATGAGGATATCTGCTCTGTATCTCACGCTCGGTCTCCCAAGTAGCCTCCTCTAAGGGTCGACCTCTCCACTGCACTTTCACTAAAGCTATATCCTTTGACCTCAACTTCCGAACCTGGCGACCCAAAATAGCTATTGGATCCACATCAAATGTCAAATCATCATCCAACTGAACTGTGCTGAAGTCCAAAACATGAGACGGATCCCTAATATACTTTCGGAGCATAGAAACATGAAATACTGGATGCACACTCGACAAGCTAGGTGGCAAGGCAAGCTCATAAGCCACCTCCCCCATCCTCCGAAGCACCTCAAAAGGCCCAATGAACCGCGGACTCAACTTCCCTTTCTTCCCAAACCCTGTCCTTAAGGACAAGTTAATGCGGATCATCATACTGGCGCTCTTTGATGCGATCATATAAGGAAGGCTGAGAAACCGCACATGCCAACACCTGACTGGGCTCAGAAATATCCAACCTCACAATCCGATTGACCAAGGACTGAACATCAACTGCAAGGGGTCTCTCCCCAACTGGAATATATGCCAAACTCTCCATACTCACTGCCTTTCGGCTCAACGGATCGGCCACCACATTGACCTTTCCCGGATGGTATGATATACTGATATCATAATCCTTAAGCAACTCTAACCATCTCTGCTGCCTCAAATTAAGATCTTTCTGCTTGAACAAGTGTTGAAGACTGCGATGATCAGTAAATACCTCACAAGATATTCCATACAAGTAGTGCCTCCAAATCTTCAATGCATGAACTATGGCAGCCAACTCCAAATCATGAACAGGGTAGTCCTTCCCATGGGGCTTCAACTGACGAGAAGCATAAGCAATAACTCTACTCTCCTGCATCAATACACAACCAATCCCAACTCTCGAAGCATCACAATACACGGTATATGAACCTAAAGCTGATGGCAAAACCAACATTGGAGCTGTGGTCAAAGCTGTCTTAAGCTTCTGAAAGCTCTCCTCACACTCGTCCGACCATATAAATGGAGCACCTTTCTGAGTCAACTTGGTCAAGGGAGATAAGATAGACGAGAATCCCTGAACAAACCGGCGATAATAACCTGCCAACCCAAGAAAGCTAGGAATCTTTGTGGCTGAAGATGGTCTGGACCAACTCTGAACCGCCTCTATCTTCTTCGGATCAACCTAAATACCCTTGTTGGACACCACGTGCCCCAAGAAAGCCACTGAACTGAGCCAAAACTCACACTTGGAGAATTTTGCATAAAACTTCTCCACCCTCAATCTCTGCAATACAACTCTCAAATGCTCCGCATGCTCCTCCTGACTATGCGAGTACACCAGAATATCATCAGTCAATACAATAACGAACGAATCCAGATAAGGTCGAAATACATTGTTCATCAAATGCATGAACATTGTTGGGGCATTGGTCAGCCCGAAAGACATGACAAGAAACTCATAGTGATCATATCTAGTCCTGAAAGCAGTCTTAAGAATATCTGCATCCCTAATCTTCAACTGGTGATAGCCCGAACGGATATCAATCTTAGAGAACACCCTCACTCCCTGAAGCTGGTCAAATAAATCATCAATGCGAGGCAAAGGATACTTGTTCTTAATTGTTACCTTGTGCAATTACCTGTAATCAATGCACATTCTCATTGTGCCATCCTTCTTCTTCACAAACAGAACCAGCGCACCCCGCGGTGACACACTAGACCGAATGAACTCCTTATCTAGGAGTTTCTAAAGCTGCTCTTTCAATTCTTTCAACTCTACTGGTGCCATACGATATGGTGGAATAGAAATGGGCTAAGTGCC